TATCATTATCATTGCTATTATTATTATTGTTATTATTATTATTACTACTACTATTATTATTATTGTTGTTGTTGTTACTGTTGTTGTTATCATCGTCATTATTATCATTAGTGTTAGTATTCGTATTATTAGTATTAGTATTATCATTTTTGCTCTCATCATTGCCAACACCACTGATATTCTTATCCTTATTTTTATTAGTATATAAATTATTTTATTGATTCCACGTCTCATATATTTTCATTATCATTGTCGTTTCTGTATTTTTTTTTATATATTCTATATTTACTGTAATTATCAATTAAGTGTCATCATTATGAATAAATCAGTCTTAAACTGTAATTTCTGGCACTCTTGATTAGTAATAAAACAACGTTAAATCACCACTGATCTTTTACCACTTGAAAAAAAACTGCGCATGTGTTAAAATGTAAGGTCCGGAGCTGGACCAGAAGGGGAATTCCGGATGGGGTTTTCTATCAGGCGCCTGGGAGGAAAAAGTAGACGCACTTAGACAGCAACCCGATGACGCTGACGTCTTGCGCCGCCGTCGTCACTCCTTCCCTCCGATATAAGCATCACCCTCGCACACTCATATGGGATAAGTCACTCCTCTGGATGTCACTACGGGTTACTTTCTACAAAGAATCGTTCAGGAAGTCTCAATACTTATAAAAGGAAAAACAATGCATTTGTTAGTCTGACCACAGATGTTTAGTATTTCAAATGAATGGTATTCCAGCTGAAAGAGATATAACCTGCTTTGTGTGATACACTTTCACTGCGCATACCCACGGTCACCTCACTGAGTAAACAACAGTTTGGGATATACTACAGTAGGGAAGTCTACGGGATCTTTTCTTATTTGTTGAATAGAACAACAAGGATTGTGAATATGAGAACAGAACTTAGTTTGCCTTCTCTTTATGAAAGAATATTATATATAAATACCACATTTGGTGTCAAATCAATTAGAGAACCCCTCCACTGTACAGAGTTCCAAAGACAACTAAAACACAGAATAGAAGAGCTAACTTTGAATGACAACACCAATTCATTATCAAATCCATGGGTACAAGTAACATGTAAACACTTAGCTCAGCTAAACATACCCATAACTAAGACCCTACATGGACGTTCTGTACCACCGTGGAAAATGTCTGACCTAAGTGTATACTATACGACTGCCCCCAAAAAAGACAGTGTCCCCCCTGCTATACTTAAGCAGTATGCACTTGCAATTATAAATGAGCATTTAGAAACTCTGCCCAATGCATATGAATGCTACACCGACGGATCCTTGCAATCTGGGATCAGAGCAGGATGCGCTTTTGTTGTATATAAAAACAGCATTTTGCAGCACCAGGATTGTAGGAGGGTTCATGACTGGGCTAGCACTTCACAAACTGAGTTGGCAGGAATACTCATGGCCACCGAATTTCTATTGAATCAAGGCTCAGGGGTCATTTTCTGTGATTCACAGAGTGCTCTCCAGGCTCTGAACACTCTAGACAAAGGTGCGGGAAATATTGCAAATGACATCAGGATAAACGTGTATCGTGCAAAAGAACGAGGCCATAATATACGTTTTGTGTGGATCCCATCGCATGTTGGAATCCCCAGGCATGATCATGCTGATCGCCTAGCAAAGTCAGCATGTGACAAACAAAGTGTGGATATAGATCTTGGGTTACCTCTTTCTAGGATTTTATACATCATCAAAGCTTCCTTCAAAGAGGACTTGACTGAATTAATTAATTCTCAACGCCCCGAAAGCTGTAGCATAAAGCACTATGACCGGTTTAGACAAGATTCATTCATCTATGGTTTATATAAAACAAGAACAAGACAGTGTGATGTTGTGACTGCAAGAATCAGGCTTGGATATAGAGTTTATTGGCAGGTCAGTACAGCTTGTAATGTCGAAGAAACTAAGTGTAAACTGTGTAATGAAGAATATAAGCGAACACTTGTACACTATATCTCAGAGTGCCATGTGCTACAGCCTTTCAGACCACCTAGCATGAGGTACGGAGAACTATGTAACTATTTCATATCATCTGATGTCTTAGAAGATATAATTATGTTGTATCCTAAATTTGGAATGTAGTATCACATGACTGCTTATCAAATGTTTTAATACTTTTCCACGCCCAAGCTATATGTCGGTGTGGTAGATGAGTAACTAAAGGACTGTGCAACTGTTTCCCTTCCTTGATTTGACAAAGTACTTATTATCATAACAATGTTATAGGATAATATCCAAGTGTAATACCATTATGTAATGTTATGACCATGCATCAAATGTACTACAGCTTGCCCACGCCTGTGCAGTTAGCCAGGGTGGTAAATAAAGGACTAAACTAAACTTTTGTGTCCCCTTTAAGTCTTTTATTACTTTACATTTTCTTTTGTTTCTGCAATATTTTAATACCACCCTTTATTTCCCTCGTGTTCATGTTCTAGTCATCTATTTGATTTAGTAATGGTAGCGATCGTAACTATGGGTACTGTTTTTAAACCTCCGAAGCCATGTAAGAAGTATATATTTTGTGCTTAATACGTAACACTTCCGAACTAAATAGAGTATTACCTTCACATTCACGATAATATTATTAACAAAAAAAGTAATAATAATAATAATAATAATAATAATGATAATAATAATAATAATAATAATAATAATAATAATAATAATAATGATGATGCTAATAATAAAATAATAAAAATAGTCATGATAATATTGAGAACAATAACAATCATAATAATTATTATCATTATAATAACTATAGTGATAATATTAATAGCAATTATACTAATAATAATAAAAATGGTAATAATGATAATAATAAAAACAATGAAAATTATAATAGTATTAATGAAAATAATGATAACAACAATGATAATTATATCAATAACAACAACAACAATAATAATGATAATAATAATAACAATAATAATGATAATTATAATAATAATAATAATAATAATAATAATAATAATAATAATAATAATAATAATAATAATAATAATAATAATGAATAATGATAATGATAATAATAATAGTAATAATGATTATAATAATAATGATATTGATGATAAGGATTCTACTACTAATGATAATAATGATGATAACAATAACAGAAACAGATAATAATAATAAAGATGATAATAATAACAATAATAATAATAATAATAATAATAATAATGATAATAATAATAATAATAATAATAATAATAATAATAATAATAATAATAATAATAAAAATAACAATAACTATAATAATAATAATAATAGTAATAATAATAATAATGACAATGATAACAATAAGAAAAAATAATAATGATAATGAGAAGAACAATAATAATGATAATAATGAGAACAACAGTAATATGATAATAACAATAATATTAGTAGTGATAATAATATTGATAATAAAAAAGTAATAACAATAATGATAATATAATAACAAAAATAATAGAAATACTACTACTGCTACTACTAGTGCTACTACTGCTATTACTGATAATATAATTAATAATAATGATAATAGTAATACTAATAATAATTATAATATTAATGATAATAATAAGTAAAATAATCATAATAATATTAATGATAATAATAAGTAAAATAATCATAATAATATTAATGATAATAATAAGTAAAATAATCATAATAATATCAATGATAATAATAACAACAGTAAATAGTTTAAATATAGTAATTATAATACGAATAAGGATAGAGTAACAATAAAATTATAGTTATCATAATCATGATGAAAAGAATAATAAAACTGACAGTAACAATAAAAATGGTGACTATAATAAGAACAACAGTAATACTGATAAACAATAATAATGAAAATTATGATATTGATTATAATGATAATAATAATGATGGTAATAGTGATAATGATAATAATAACAGAGATAACAATAATAATAGTAATAATAATATCAATAATAATGATAATAATGATGGTAATAATGATGATTATGATAATGATAATGATGATAATACTAATGATAATAATAATAATAAGACTAACAATAATAATAATAATATTGATATTAACAACATGATATTAATAAAAGCATAATAATAAAATAGATAATAACAATAGTAATAATAGTAATAGCAAGAATATGATAACAACAATTATTACTATTATTACTAAGAAAATTAAATTGATAAAAAAAATAAGAAAACTGATAATGATAATAATAATAATGATAGTAAATAATAGTTCTATTAATCATAATAGAATTACTACTACTACTAATGATAATGATAATATTAATAACAATAATAATAAGAAAATAATAATAGTAATAATAATAGTTATAATGATAACAATAATAATGATATTGATAATAATAATAAGAATGATAAGAATAATAATGATGATAATAATGATAGTAAAGAAAATGATAACAATAAAGATAAGGATAATGATAATAATAATAATAATAATAATAATAATAATAATAATAATAATGATAATGATAATAATAATAATAATAATAATAATAATAATAGTACTTACTACTACTATTGATATCAATAACAATAATGATGAATGATTACAATATCAGTAATATTAATAATGATAATAATGATAATAATAATAATAATAAAAATAATAACAATAATAATCATCATCATCATCATAATAATAATAACAATTGTAACAATAAAAATTATAATAACAATAATTATAACAAAAAAATAGTACTATTATTGATGATAACATTGATAATGATAATAATAATAATAATATATAATATAATAATAATATAATCATTATTAGTATTATTATCAATGTTATCATCTTTATTCTTACTATGTCAGTAATGATAATAGC